CAGGTACAGTTTTCATGTACCTACATGAAACAAACAGACTAAATATGGAAAAGTACATAAATATCCAGGTAGTAAGATACTGTGGATGGAAAAGATAAACATGTGCGTCTTTTCAAGAAACACGTGAGCATCCTGCTGTGGTGGCTAAAGCCATCATACACACTGAAACACACCAGGAGAAAGAAGGTATTTCCTGTACGTCTGTGCAACCAAATTCTTTCTCATTAAGGAAAAAAAAAAAACCTGTTGAAATTTCGACAGTTCTTTCTTACCTCTTACCATCACAGGACTTGATATCTCTGTAAATTCTCTCAATATTTGTGTACATATGCACTAGTAAAAGCCAGCCACAGAAAGAAAATTAAAAAAAAAAAAAGCCAACCACAGCATAGAGAAAGATAAAACTTTTGAGCCAACAGAAAAGCTTCAAGCTATTGACTTTCAGAAAATAAAATCACACAAATGTTTTACATAAAGACAAAGTCAACTTTCTCTAAAGACAGGAAGGATTTGAAAAAGTGACTTAGTGGTTATTTCTGGATAAGCGCCCTGGGTATTAATTTACAGGCAGCAACGGCACTATCTGTTCTGAACAGAGTGTCTCACATGGTGTGACAAAAGAAAGCAGCTACAGGGACAGCGACGCAGGGGTGTGCTGCACAAGCCAGCCACACAGGGGACCAATATGATGCCATTAACCTTAGCAAAGGTTCTAACACTCTTTCAAACCAAGGAAAACAGAAGTATTTGAAAATATATCTGTGCATACAAGTATCACGAATCTACCAAAGTGTGATGACGAGAATATAAAAAGATTCAAATAATAAACTTTGTGGTAGTAAAGTATTAAATAGTGTTAAAGCCTTTATCAATAAATCTACAAATTTATTCTAAAAAGTCACCAAAACAAGACTTTGAAGTAAGCATATTCAGCATAAAGCCCTAAGAGCAGCTCAGGAAGAAAATATCTACTCTACCAATCATTATACGTCAGTGTGATGGGGGCCACACAGGTGTTACAGGAGCGGCATTTTGAAACTGCAAAGAGCGTCGGCAGTTATAAAAGCACTGATTTGGAGGCACGGACTTCTAGGTATTGTAAGAAGGCTTAAGCTTTGGTCTTGGCACGGATTACAGAGACGGACCCACATCCCACAGCCACACAGGACATGGATGTGCTGCTCGCACTCTGAGCTCAGGGCGATGGCAGGCGCAATCTGATCTGTCCTGCTCAGTACAAGATGGACAAGCTCTTAGGTCCACTCTGCCCGGGTCAAGCTCTGCTAAGGTCCCAGCTTCTTACACTGCGGCACTGATGAATTTGGGGAGTAGGGGGTGATGGTGAAAGTTCTGAACACCTAAGAAGTTTTGTCTGTGCCCACCACAAACACGAGGAAATCAAAATCAAACTCACAGTGGAGCCCAGGTATTTCGGCAACACTTGCCCAAGGGACATATGGTGACACTCGGCCCTTCACACACCTTCACTCCAGACAACAAGAGATTTCAAGTGACTCATGTTGAATCTGACCCTATTGTATATTTAAACGGGCATGTTTTAATGTCCACATAAACCTTTTTTAACTATCATAGAAACATAACAGTTTAATTATTAAAATCCCTTTTAATATTTTTCTAGTATCAGTCCTATACATGAAAAATCTTAAAATCTTAGCATATTTTGCATTAAATAGTGTTAGAATGTTTGACTTTAGAAATAGCTGTCTAAAATATTGACTTTCTTTAAAAAATATTACATGAATCTGGGTTGGGAGCAGTGATTTCTAAGATGGCTCTTAATTTCTAAACATGCTTTCCATTCTATACTATGTGTTTGTGCACAGTGGTGCTCTGAGCACTGTTTCGACAGTAAGATCATGATCGATTCTGGAAAACACTGTTGCTGCTCCCCATGCAGCTGCAAACAAGCAACACCACCCACAAACATCACACGAGAAAGCACATTCCTCATCAGGATGCAAAGTTGTTCTTAGTGCAGAAGTATGTGCACAATGAAAATTTCTTTAAAATGTCTTACAATATTTATTATCAGTAAAAATTGATCTGTATGTCAATTTTACACAGATACATCCTGAACTCAGTGCTATTTTCTTAGGCAAAATGGTTACAAATCAAAAAAGCTTAAGAAGTCTTCTTGTCTTTGTCACCCTGGGGCCCCTTTCCATATACTTGAGAAAAAATAATGCTCAATGTTTTCCTAGTTCAACGTCTACTGTGGCGAGTGTGTGGAGGACCTGCGGTAGACCAGCCGCAGCTGACGCTGCGCACCTGCTGCTGCGGATGACTGCTCTCACTGCATACAACTTCACTAAGCTGTACCTTTGGGTCTGGTTAATTTTGGTATGTGGTTTCTTTTCTTGCAACTTTTTATAACAAAGTTTAAAATAAATTAAATAATTAAAGAATGCTATAGTCATCCTAGTAAACTCCATGGGGGAAAACAACTGGGGACATATGTGTGAATTTCTCTGAAGACAACATTATTAAGAACCTGGCTCTTCCCATTCATGAAAACAGTGGTATATATCTTGACTTATTTGTGTGTTCGTCTTGTCTCAGCTGAGAATGAGGCTGAATGGTGAACTATGTACCCAGCTTGCCCAACACCCTTGACCTGATGCTCAGTATTATAAGAAAAATTGTTTTCTGGCGCTTAGAGCAAATGTCTTAGATTTTTTTTTTTTTAAGCAATGTCTAAATATTTGGGATACTGAGTGATATTGTAAAACAGATGGTTTACTTATTAATGTGTCTATGTATGTGTCTGAGCATATGTGTGTGCATTTGCATGTACGTACATGTCTGAGTATATGGGTGTGCATGTGGCCGTGACAGCAGGGCCTCCCTGACCGTCAGACTGTGTCCTTACTATGTGGTCCTCCTGCCATCTGCCCCACTGTATTGCAGCTTGGTGTCTTCTTCCCACAGAGTTGCTTGAAATACCTCTTATCTGGATTTCTCAGAGGTTCAACCCTAAGACCAATGTTCCCAGCCTACTGATTCTTTAACGAACATTCACTGAGTAGTTGCCGTGCTCTGAACACAGTCAGAAGTCTTCTGAAAACATGAAAAGCGCTGATGGGGCCTGGCACAAGCAGAGCACCCAGAAGCTCAAGCAGAGTAATGCTTTTCTTGAGCAAAAAGTGGGTTCTTCTGAAGAGTTTAAGAAGCTGGACGGGACAAGCTCAGCATCAAGGACCCTACAAGGCAGGCTCAGGATGTGTCCTCAGAGCTGAAGAGTTGTGTGCTGAGCCCAAATCCTTACAGGCTGAGAACTTCCTTACATCCCTCAGCACAGCCATAACCGTGTGCTGTGGCTACCTGGGAGACAGCCATGGCTAGCTTCCCTTACGTTAAGCTCCTCTGCTGTGCCAGGCTTCTTCTTAAGCTACGCTGAGTACACATCAGAGTCTGAACTGCTGGGTGCCCACGAGCACTGCGCTGTACAAGCGCACATGGACAACTGTAGAGAGCCTTACTGGAGACACCTGTACACTTTAAAACTATGGGAAGCACAGCTCCTGAGGATAGTTATTGACGTAGAAAGGTAGTTACAAAGTTTTTTAAAATGAGAATGAAAATTTATACTCAAAGAAACATATCCCTTACCCAGAATAAAAACGAAGACTTTATGTACGGGTATAAATTACAGCTTATAGTCCTGGAAGCAAGGTGTATGATGGAGTTTTTTCATCATTTTCTGGTTGAGTTATCTTTTACAGGGAACACAGCTATAGTATAGGCTATAATAAGGTTAAAAGGCTTGAAAATGATTTTAACAGATTCCATATTCATCAGGAGATTAGAATTTCTAGGCTACCTCTAATTGGATCTGCACAAACTTCTAAGAAATACCACTATGGAGTTATAGGGAGACACAGCCCATAAAATGTTGAGTGAATAAATAATCAATGAATGAAATATATCTGTAATATCTGTGTAGTTTTCAATGATCTTTCACATAAAAATTAATGCAATGACGTGGATAATAATTGAGATTGTGTCAATATTCTTGCTAAGTGCACAGGTTACCGCCACAGACATCCAAAAATCTGCTTTCTGAAGAACTCTCCCTGTCAGTGTTCATGCTGTAATACTCGATAGAGGGGGCGTGGTGTCTCTCTCCTGCACATGTCGGGGGTGGCAGTCAGTGAAGACTTTAACCCAAGGGCGCAGCCCCTTCCCTCACACAACTCCAAAGTGCTTTCAGCACTGAGCTCCTTGCAAGCAGCTGCCACTCTGTCCAGGAGCATCCAGCCCACAAACAGACAGGGAAGCATCTCTTACACCCCACTGCGACTAAAGACTGGGTCTGGGCTCAGAGGTGACCTTTTCCACACTCTCCCCAGGCTGTATTAACCTCTCCAATCAATTACCATTTTATGTTTCTGAAAACTCATTCACGAATGGTGCAATTCTATGGTAAAAGTCAGAAAACACTTTTTATATCATCTTCGTTGTATATCATGCTTTTGCTCAATGTCAAGGTTCTACCACATACTTGTTGAATAACAGATTGCTTGCAATGGATCCTTACTGTGGCCAATAAAAGAAATAACCAAACATGGGAAGGCAATTAGAAAACCCAAGCAGAAGACTATAAAAAGGGAAGTTGTGTAAGTCTATGATTTTACCATGAGGTAGCACACTATCATCAGTGTGTCCGTCCACACACAGGATACGCTCACCCCATGTAAACAAGGGCTGTGTTGTACAGCAGCAGTGTAGACAACCAGCTGTAGTGAGGACTCTACAGGACAATGAAGGAGGTTCCCCAGTGAAACGAAGTGGGGATGAGAGGACAGTTACCACCTTCCAAATGTTGCCGTGACACCGAAACTGTTCTCGGAAACATGCGTTGTCAGTATCACTGAACTTGGGAAGTAATAGCTTGGCCAACGTGCACGCCCACTAAAGTATACTCGCACTCCAGTTCTGCAGCTTCGAATCCGCTGTGGCGATGCGTCGGGCCTCATTACCTGTAGTCACACCAGGGGCACCTGTAGGGCTTCTCTCCAGTGTGCACACGCTTGTGACGAGTCAAGTGCGACTGGGTTGTGGAGGCGAAGTTACACTCGTCACATTTGAAAGGCTTTTCTCCTGTACAAGAAATGCATACACATGAGTAACAGCTGGACGCCAGGTCTCCAAGCTGTGAACACTTAAAACTGCGCAGCCATAAGCCTTTACAAACATGAGCAACTCCACACTTTAGGATACTGGAAAGCGGGAGGATAGTACCAATTTTTTTTACAATTGGCTTTTAGTAAGGTATATAACATGCTGTACAAACAGGACTGTAGGTTTTAAGTGTAGGTCAGGGCTCTCAAGTAACTGTATAGACCATGTTACATACAAGCCATTCCAAAAAAAAATTGTAATGAGGTTAGAACATGGCCAATCACATAACACACATACAGATGAAATAAAATGTGAGATAAAAATCCCTAATATTAGCTCTGAAGAAAAACGAAATTAAGCTGCTACTCTAATAAGTATTAGAAGGTACAAAGCTTCCCTTGAGTGATCCTGCTCCTCCACACTCACCCCATGGAGTGCTCCTGCTCCTCCACACTCACTCCATGGAGTGCTCCTGCTCCTCCACACTCACTCCATGGAGTGCTCCTGTACCTGCTCCTCCACGCTCACTCCATGGAGTGCTCCTGCTCCTCCACGC